AAAGGCCGGTTACAAGCGAAATTTTACAGACAGAAACACAAGGAAGTATAACGAGTCATAGGAATCGAACTACTGATAAAGAAAAACAAAGAATTTTGTTATCAGAGGTTCATTAAAATTAATTTAAATTCTTAAAATAATGGTAATTTATTAAAGTCAAACACGATTTCTTACGCATGCAAGATGCTAACAATGGAGAAGTGAGCTATCATTGTGATGAAACAAGTAAATTAAATGAATGTTCAGAAACAAAAATATAAGATGAAGATAATGACGATCAAATATTCAAATACCCATTAACGAAATCACTTTTTGTTTTGTTTGAATAAAAATATTATAGTATCTTCAAAAACCGTTAGAGGTTCTTCTGAAGTATACCGATGAGATTATTGGTTTGATTCTCCAGATTGGGAGTGTGGTAGTATATCTTGGCTGTATTATTTACTTAAAAGCTTTATTAAACAGTTTCTTAATATAAAATGATATATTCATGATTAGGGCCAAGTGTGGCCCAGTGGTTAGCGTTCCGGGCTGTGTATCTGAGGCTCCGTGGTTTGTGCCTTGCTATCTCTAAAGAAAATAAACGCGGTCCGAACTTTAGAGTCGTGGGTGCGTTATAAGAATAACGGTCATATCACACTATTTGGTCTGACAACATTAACTCAAAAGATAGCGGTGTTGGGGTGAGGAGGATGTTGACTAGCTGTCTTTCGTCTAATCCTTCACCCAAAATTAGGGACGATTAGTGTAAATAGACCTAGAATAGCTTTCCGCAAAATTCAGCAAACAAGCAAATTGTACACTTAAGTTATTTCATGTCATAGAAAGTGTCAGAGGATAAAAGTATCACTAACCCAATTGTTTTAATTGGTATAATGCGTCATAATGCAGATGTATTACAATTACACGAAACAAGTGTTCACGAGACAACTATATTGTTTTTTTTACGAAATAAGTGAAATTATAAAATAAATCATTTTTATGCGTTTCAGTTTTGACAGATATAAACATATAATTTGAAGTTGAAACACGTTTTGTATCTGAGATTAAGGTTTTTTTTCTTTTTTACATACGCGTATAAAATCAGATAGTTTAAATTTACATATTTCCAATGTTTATCATATCAAGAAGTTGTGTTAAAACGCATGACTGGTTTAAGTTACAATGAAGGAGAGTGGGTGTTCTCTAAGTATACCAATAGCAATTAACTAGTACTTGCTATTCAGTGCCAAAAAAAACAAACAAATACTTTGGTACAGATGGGCTTACGGTTGATTGTTTGGTTCAACTTAGCCTCTGTTAGAAAGTTCTTTGCTGAAAATTCTTAACAAATCCGTGGTAACTCTTGAATTATTTACGCCCCCTCCCCCAATGGCTCAGCGGAATGTCTGCGGACTTACAAGAAACACCTTGTGTAGCTTTGTGCTTAATTGCAAACAAACTTGAATTATTTACGGAAGTTTGAAAAGATTATGATAGATTTAATCCAAAAGAAAGGAGATTTCAGAGAGTTGAGAAATTGGCGCCAAATTTATCTCTTTTACTGTGACTAAGATTTTGGTAGAAATATTGTCAAACAATTTGTTTGTTCGTTTGTAGCTAGCCACAGAGCTACACAATGGGCTATGTGTGCTGTGTCCACCAGGGGTATCGAAACCCAGTTTGTTTGTTTTTTTAACTTTATAAGTCCACAGACTTGCCACTGTGCCACGGAGAAGTGGGGGTGTTATCAAACAGAAGGAAAGCTGATACCAGTTATGTTATTCATGAAAGCCAAATTTACTCTGTTCCTATACGTCTTAGTACCTTTGACAACATACATGTTAGGTGAGATATTAGAAATCTCGCAAACCAAAATAACTAAAATTTAGATATTGTGAATCTAGGTTTCAAAAAGGCATTTCAGCGAGTAGATCATAAATATATTTTTTAAAGTGCTTATAAAATAATTAATGTTGTTTTGAAAGGTAATTTTATCAACCTTTGAGGCATTGTACAAAACTACAATATTTCATATAGCTTATAGATCATTTCTAACTACATTTGTTTCTTTTCGAATAATGCACGTCAAGAAGACCAAATAAGTGATATAAGTAATACAATTTCTTTATCATTCATGAAAACTTATGATGGATAATACATGAAAGGACTGGTGATTAATTTTGATTTCCAAGCTTAAAGCACAAAATTCTTCTGGTTTAAGGTCTATCACAGATGGATTACAAACTAAGTTACATGTGGTTAAAGCTAGGTTTAAAAATATTTGGAGTTTATTTTACAAAATCAGCATGGACTCAGAGAAACTGGACGAGCTATTTGGGAAAAATCACAAAAGTTAGAACAGTCTGGAAGCGAGTTCAACTCTTTTTATTACTAAGTGAAAACATATTTTCGTTCCTAATCAGTTTCGTTTGTTTTTGATAGAGCACAAATCTACATGACGGGCTATCTTTGCTATGCCCACCGCAGGTATTGAAACACGATTTCAGCGTTATAAACCTTTAGACCTACCACTGAGCCGCCGGGAGTCTTCTTAATCAGAATATAAATAGTATTGCATTAGGAGGCATATATATTTCTAAAACCTTTTAGAATTTTTACAAAATGATTTTATACGATTTGTTTGGATTAAGTCTACCAAGTAAAACATAAATAAAAAACCAGCATCTTAATACTTGTGTTGAGTAAAGATGGACTGAGTTTAATTTCGTCTGTGTTGTGTTAAACATATTTTGTATGAATTATGTTATTCCGCTGAACCACGCTATGAGTTGAACACTTCTGTTGAACTTCTTAAATTAAATCAAATTAGATATAATCATTGCAAGAAACTACAAACATACTCTTCTCAATGAACCTCTCTTTCTGAACTCACGTTTGATATACTCATTTTTGGTTGTTGTTTTCGTGGATATATTAACTTATGAGACACGAGTGTTTAGATGGAAAAACCATATCATCCATTTTACAAATACACTTACGAAATGATGAAAATACAGAACATTTGAATTACTTTGGTTTGTTCTAAATTTCGCGCAAAGCTACGCGAAAGCTATCTGCGCTAGCCATCCCTAATTTAGCAGTAAGAGACTAGAGGGAAGGCAGCTAGTCACCACCACCCACCGCCAACTCTTGGGCTACTTTTTTAACAAAGCATAGTGGAAATGACCGCCACATCATAACGCCCCCACGGCTGAAAGGGCGAGCATGTTTGGTGTGACTTTGAATTAGTTAGTAGTAGGAACTGTTACATTTATACTTATGCATATTGTAAGCATAGTAGCAACTGTCAGATATTTCGTATCCTGAATTACCTAATGGCGTATGAGAAAATCTTCAGAAATTGTACTAAAACTGCGACGCTGGGCTTCAGTGGAGACTCGTTTATGATGCACTCTCCTCCCCAGTGGCACAGCGGTATGTCTGGGGACTTACAACGCTAGAATCCGGGTTTCGATACCCGTGGTAAGCAGAGCACAAATGGCCCATTGTGGAGCTCAGTGCTTAATTACAAACAAACCTCCCCAGTGTAGTTAAAGTGTAAATTATTTGTTCATTGCTGTAAATAGAAATTTGTGGCATATGTACTTTAGAAGTCCCAATTAATAGCTTTTATTAGCTAGTATTTTTAAATATGTTCTTTATTTTACAAAAACCGAATGAAAATTATGATTATGTGTATTTTCTTTGTAAGAAAACTAATTTTAAATAGATAAATGTCTGTAATTGTATTATTATTATTATTATTACTACAGAGAGAGATAAGCTGTAATTATTAATGTGCAACACATTGAGACAAGTTTATCCTTTTACTTAGCGTCATTAATAAAAATGTTTTAAATAACTTATTTAAAAGATTGAAATGACGTATCAATTATAAATATTATGTTAACTGCGACTTTTTTATTCACATTCCACCCACTCTGTCAATTTCGGATTCAAAATCAGAAGCGTGTAAAATCGATGTTAAGATGGCGTATCAATTATAAATATTATGTAACTGCGATTTTTTTATTCACATTCCACGCTTACTCTGACAATTTCGGATTCAAAATCAGAGGCGTGTAAAATCGATGTTAAGATGGCGTATCAATTATAAATATTATGTTAAATGCGATTTTTTTATTCACATTCCACGCTTACTCTGACAATTTCGGATTCAAAATCAGAGGCGTGTAAAATCTATGTTAAGATGACGTATCAATGTGTGTCTTGTCTCCCACAAGTCACTGCCCAAAAGGCCCTTCTTTGAAAACCAAAACTCGTTCGTTAATCCAAATTGTACAGATTGGAAATAATAGGGGTGGATTTTCAGTTAACATTATTTTTATCACAAATTTTCAGCCTGTGGTTTATAATGCTTCAACATCTTTCGACGTTCAAGCTATAACTTTTTAAAGTATTATATGTAAATAGCGTTTCGGCAACTCTCTTGTTTATCATCACCCAGTCCAAATGCATTAAAAAAATGTTTTCTCTGTGTCAAAGTTGTAAAAATAGTTTGGTTGTATTTAATTTTAAGAAATGTATGTAAGTTGCCAAAGATATACACCTTATATGTTGTTTGCTCTTACCTACATGTTAAAATCTCTGAAAAATTGTCTGATGTGGGAGAAATATTATATGCATACTGGGTAATATCAAACAAAACAATTATTATACAATTACAAATCATCAGTCTGATCGTGTCAAATGCAACTTTACTATTTTTTAATTTTGCTCAGTTTTTTTTTCTTTCTTTAATTTTGAAATTATTTATATTACGAAGTTCAAGGTAAGAATTTTAAATTTTGTTTCATGTTGAATTGTATAGATCGCACGCTCAAGTAATTTGTCATACACCATTTGTTTTGTTGCGGTGTGAGAAATAGTGGAACTATTAGAATACGTCACCTCTTCCGGCCGATCCTTGGTACTGGGTTCCCGCGGTTAGTCATGGGTGAATGTGTCATCTTCCTGATGCTCACTTTTCCTTGCAGACGTTACAATAACGTTGGAATTATATTTTCTGCTAATTGGGAAATTACTTGTACATTCATTTGTGTATTCTTGGACTTACGCATCTGGTGTAAATAAACAAAAGAAATGGGAAAATTAGTCATTAATTAAACAGAGATTTTTTAATGAATGAGGGCTTTGTCCTTGACTTCCATATTTGGTACGAAGTACGTGGGTGATTGAGTAAGTGTGTTCATTAAGCAAACGTTGTGGGAAACGATTACTCATACACCGCGTCTAACCGCTTAAAGACCCCGGGGTCTTGAGGCAGACGACAGTTCGTCAAGCTACCTGAGCGCGTGCTAGTCGTTCGGAAATTAACTTGCTTAACGTACACACACGATTTTACTGTCTTCCTACTAAATCCAGCTGTTAAACAATGGGCTTCAACGTATGTTTAAATATCGCTTTGGCCGTGATAGGTATTTCGATACTTGCTTCGACGGTTATTGCAGCACCTCTGGCAGATTCCAGTCAACAAGCTCTGGTAAGATTTTCTCTTTCATGTAATATTTTAACTTGTTCTGGGCTACTTAAACCAAATTGAAGTCTATAAAAGTATAGGGCAAGAGTTCGATAATATACGCAAAATTAGACGCGCCATTATATGTAAGAAAAATAACTTGTAATTAAACTGCATGAAGTTATAATTTTTTTCCCATCTCTGTTTGAAACCGAGCCGGGCGTGCGAACTTTGTTGTTAGATGACTACAAATATCTGATAAACCTTTACACATTATTGCTACGCTTACACAAATACTACGCTATTATTCGGGGGATATTATTCTGAATTTTAATTTCATAAGCTTTTTCCTTTTTGAAAATTATGTCAATATTTGTATTTAGAATATGCGAAGAAAAATGTTAATACTACATTGTAGTCATACCTTCATTTTCTTATTTAATAACAGAGTTCCAGTTAAAGCTGCCGCTCGTTGTTGTCTATGATGAAAATTCTGGAACACTCAGTGTCTTGAACTTTTTTAATTACTCCATGGACGTATGCTGAGGTGTGTTTAAAACGCAATAGACCATAACAGCGCCCGGCATGGCCAGGTGGATAAGGCGCTCGACTCACAATCTGAGGGTCGCGGGTTCAAATCCACATACCACCAAACATGCTCGCCCTTTCAGCCGTGGGGGCGTTATAATGTGACGGTCAATCCCACTATTCGTTGGTAAAAGAGTAGCCCAAGAGTTGGTAGTGATGACTAGCTGCCTTCCCTCTAGTCTTACACTGCTAAATTAGGGACGGCTAGCGCAGATAGCCCTCGTGTAGCTTTGCGCGAAATTCCAAAAGCAAAAAAAAAAGCAAACCATAACAGCGCGTTTTACTTCTCAAATTTTAATATCAATAAAAGTGTTTGCGAAGAAATACATTTAGTGGGATATAGCAAATGTTTTCTTTGCTATTTTGTCATATGTGGTGACTTTTGTAATGCACGTGAATTTTCAAGTACCAGAAAAAAGCAAAGAATCTGGATGTAAAGCATAATTTTGGCATTAACCATGAAAGTTCTGGATTCTTGGTTCGAAACTTGATCATAAGGGCTTCGTTACATTACAGTTTAATACGATGCCATAAATGTATTCTGTTTAAACAAAGGCTTATATAGGAATTAAGAAATAGAAACCTTAAGAAACTAGTTTGTTTTAAGTTCAATAGTAACCACTATTCAGCTTCACTTTTCAATAATTTCTTTATAAAAACATATTATCATACAGAGGCGTCGCTAGGCGCTGGCACACAGGACCCTTGCACCTAATCCCCAGTTGGTGTCTTGAAAAATCAGAATAGAAAACCATGATCTATATAATTCTAAAACGTCAAAATTCACTCGCCTATAGGCCCGAATCTTTTAAGCACCTAGCGACGCCACTGTTATCATATATGATTTTTCGAAAGAAAGAATTCTGGTTTATGTAAAACGTTTCATCATGTCCGATTGAAATAACAACATAACATGTATCTGTATTTCAAAGTTGGAAACATCGTTGCCTGTTTTTCGCGCATAGTCAGACACCATTGATCTAAATTTCACAAGCAAACCTACAGGTTATCAAAATAGGACAGGAGACTGTTTTCTAGCGTGCGATCGGTTCAAGGATACTTCACGTTTTCCTTAGTCATTTGATTTCTGAAAACACACTCGTTTACGCATGCTCGGTGTTATATGTCGACATATTCTCTCTTATATAAGTTTGGAGATATATATGGGGGTCGGTAAAGAACAAGCCTCATGGTGCTTCAGAAATAGGTGTTTTTTAATATATTTTGATTTTCTGTGTAAGGCATTTTTCTAATGACTGGTCTAATGATAATGCTCGTAGATCTAAAGGGATTTTTAAAACATTAATAAACATAAAAACACGAAATATGAGATGAGATTTATACGTAGCTGTCTCTAACATTAATATTGTTGTATCTAATATCGATTTAAAAATAAACGAAAAAATATGTTATAAACACACCTGGATACTAACTAACAAAAATGTAACCCTTTTAACGATATAAAGCTTTTTTTTCTTCTTATAATAAGCTAAAATATCACATTTGAATGAAAATGTTATGTGTATAAATATTTAACGTCGTAAAAAATTAAGACTGAGTGTTGTTTTGCAATATTGAATAATTGTGATTTATCGGTTTCAAAGCAATGTCCATTTACAAACGTAATTCTAGAAATAGTCAAAACTAGAGAAAGGTGCGAAACCCTGAATCTAGTTTCGATGCTTGTTCACGTTAATATATGCGCGATCTATGGTAAGTAGAGCCTGTTACTTCATTTCAAAACTGAATAATGGTCTGTTTAGTTTCTAAATGTATACAGTGTATTTTGAGAGAGAAAAAAATCGTAAGACATTAATATTATTCACAAAACTAGTTTTAATACTAAATCATTATTTGAGTAGCTTGTATGTACATTTATAACAGCCCACATATTCCTCCAAAATTATCTCCGTGGTTACTAGTATGACCTAAAAACCTGAATCTGAATTTTTTGTTTAGTTAGTCCCGAGGGCGACATCTAATTATTTAAAGGTTGTCTATCTTTTCTTTTCTATTAGGATTAAGCTATTTAAGCAATGCAAGTTATAACATATATAATGGACATAGAACAGGAGTCACATAAAGTATTAATATTAAAACCAAAACCTATTCTCAATGTGTTTTAACATCAGGTTATGCTTGAGCATCCTGAAAACTGAGACGCACAACATTATAATTTGTTAACATCACTGATTCAACTATCAGTGGAAAGCAAGCAAAGGAGTAAGTTTAAAAATCGCTAAGGCTAAGTTGTCACATTTGTAACCCTTATTAACATTTCATGTTTTTTTTTTATTTGAAAGACTCTTGTATATTCTGCATAAAGATGGAAACGACAAGATATTAAAATGTCGGAAACATAGTTGTTTTAAGGAAACCTCTTATGGTGTTAAGTTTGCTTTTGAAATCACATAAAAAACACTTATGTCACTTTGAATAACGTTTTCCAATCATATTCAGGCATCGCTTAATTTCAACAGAAATTCTAAATTATTATTTATGCACAAATAATTTATTAATTCAGGTAAGGTTATGGAGAAAGAGAATGGCCCTATACATCATTTGTCCTTAAATACTTCGCCCCCCCCCAGTGGCACAGAGGTATGTCTGCAGACTTACAACGCTAGACTCCGGGTTTCAATACCCGTGGTGGGCAGAGTACAGATAGCCCATTGTGTAAATTTGTGCTTAATTACAAACAAAGAACAAAAAGAACCTTAAATAATTCATGGAGTGAAAACCAGGTGGGAAGTCCCAACTGGTAAGAAAGGGAAATTCCCGTTCAATTTTTCTGAGGTACTTAGCGTGATTTTTGTAAATTATTGATTTGTAGAGCTGATAACTTTGAGGTTAAAAAAATTAGCTGAAAATCTTGAATCAATCAATTCACGTCGCAAGCTGCATTCGATTTTTCAATTTCATCACTTAAACGTAACAAGGGCAAAATGACAAGTAACTAGAATTAAGTGTACTTGCTTTCTTATTTCCTTTTTATTTTATTTCAGACTAACTTTACGTGAAAACAACTCTTGATAAGTACACTGCGATACATAACTAGGGTTATCAGAATATTCGGTCTTTTCTATTTAAATGTAGCCCTTACACTGTCCACTTAGGTTCAAGTGTTTATTTTTATAGTTTTTATTAATACTTTATTTTTACAGTTGTTATCTAATGGACAAACATTTAATAATCTATAAAAATGCCCTTAATCTGTCTTGTTCTACGTTTCGTTACTATTCTCCTGTAAACAATTCATAACACGTGATGTATCTTACATTATGCTATTCAATGTAAGTTATGCTAATCGCCAACCAACAATCGACAACCGCTTTTTTTCATTTATTGAAGTTGTAAATGAAATGGTAATAATATTTTAACTTAAACAATGAAGCTATTACAAAGTTAATTATTTCATCAACTTTTGAGGATGTAGAAAGTTTATCACCAAGTGATTTTTCTCACACAAGAACTTATGCTGGGTTCAAATTAAGCATTTAGGATTTTTTTTTATCTTAGCTATTTTTATTAGATTATTCTGTTCTTTAATAAGTTACTGATTTTCAATTTCATGTAAGCTAAAGAAAACACATCAGAGTAGTCTTCAAACTCTTACAAACTATTTTGTTGAATCTCCCGATATAAATTCCGTGAACTACTATAGTGAACGAAAATTTAACTGAATATGTGCATCTGAAATTTACTTTTGTATTTTAGATTTTCAAGTTTTACTAAATTTCATCATAACTTTGAAACATTTTCTATTTGTGTTGTCAAAAATTTGGTCATTCCTAGTAATAGAGGATGCGAAAATGTTTTTATTTTTTAATGCAACATGTAATTGAAAATACGATTAGGCTTACAAGAGGGCAGGCTTCTAACGGAAAAACAGATGTACTACATTACTGGAGCAGCGAACAAAATTAATGTTCATTTGGATTTTTAGTCTGACATGAGCAAAACCCACACTATTTAAATTACATTCAAAATTATTTAACAATAAACACAATACTTGTTTTCCTGACAGAAATTATATCCTGCAACATTCCTGAGCTTGATTTTCCTGGTATGAAAAAATTGAGTAGCGAGTGCCAATTTGAGCGACCAGGCATTTTTCAAGGTTTAGTAATTAGTCGCTGCTCGATCCTCAAATGCAACTGAAATGAGCACCTAACAGCTACTGGACTGAAGTGAACAAACAAACAAAATGTTTAATTTCTGTAAATTAACTATTGGCTTATGTAACGTATTAGAATTTCGAACAGTCTGAATCCGAACTAAATGATACTTTAAATTTAGTAGTAAAATTATACTTTGGATTTAGCAGTTAAGTATATAGTCACTTTATGATATTTGCCAACAAGATTGATACACACACAGTTTTCTTTTTTAACACAAATACGTTTTAATATACACACAACAATACAATTTTCAATAACAGTTATTACAAACAATGATTTAGTTGTACAAAGGTACAAGCAATATAAAGTCTTCTTTCTAGTCTGAAACTTCTTCGATATCTCATCGAGGGTTCACGATAAGCGAGTTAATTACGAGTTAATGTAGGTATAATTCACTTAACAGGGAGCTAGATAGCTTTGTCTTTCTCGCTGATCACAAGCCGATATTTTTCTTACCTATAACGTTATGTAATGTTTTCATAAAAATACTAATGTCCAATGAGAATCCACTGTAATGTTCGAACTTTGTAAATTCTCCTAGTCAAATATCTGAAATTTTCCGATTGATAAGCGTTATAACAATCACAGTTATATCTTCCAAAGTTTATAGAACACTGACTATAGCGAACTAATAATATATACTCTTCTTTGGCGCGACGCGTTGGACATATTTATATGCGTGTGGAGGCTTTCTAGAAACTTCAGTTTTACGTAACAATACTGACGCTAACACAAAAGTATTTACGTACACACATATACTGTTGATTCTTAGTCTCGAGAATCTTCTACAACTTTGGAGAATAGGCGGGAGTTTCGC